ATTTGAAACTTGTTTGCATGTTTTTTTTGTCTCCAAATTCTGTTCCATTTGTATTAGGATGCACTCTCTGAGGGGGGAAAAAAGAAGGTAATCTGTAATGCCATGGCAGAGTTACTTAAGGAAATCTAGCAACATGAACATTGGATTTCCATCTGGATGTTTTAAGAAGCAGCAACAGATGTTGGAGAAAGCAAAATCAAGTGGGTTTTATCATTAAGTGCAGCAGTCTTCTCAGCTTTGTAGTGTTCTGTTGAGGTAGCTTAAGGAGTGACTCTGGAGAATGACAGCTTCCTAACACAGAGAGAGAGGCTGTGATGCACCAGCATCAAGGCTGCATATTCCTATCCATGTGATAAAAGCAAGATAGACATCCCATGCATTTCCATGTCATTAAGTCAGAATACTTAAAGAATTGGGTTTTTTGAGTTCACCTCCTCCACACTACTATTCACTGACTTGCAAAAAAATCCCTTTAGTTGTAGTCTTAACAGCCGAGGCTGCTCAAGTGCATGAAAGGTTTTGGTGCCCAGTGGTGTCTTTCCAGGCATGTTCTTAATCACACATTTTCATTTTAGCAGGAAGTGTTTGCAGTGGCAGGCAGGTGTTAATAGTGCATGTGAATCGATATCAATGCCTGGCATTCAGATGGTTGTGAAGATCTTTAAGATCTTTCTTGTAGACAATTTTGTTTCTAAATTATGGTGTGGCTTTATACAGCTTTTTTTTTTTTTTTTTAATGCTTTAAAGTTATCTTGGGGTGTTACTTCAAAATTTGAAAACTTCTGGGCTTCTGAGTTTAACTGTACCTTTTACCTACCTTCCTAGACAATATAGTTGCTTTGGAGACTTCCCTCAGTACCATGTCACTGATCTTTAATACACAATCTGTTTTCCCCCATGTCTTCAGGTTTCCCTTTATTGATGAAGATGTCGTTTCGTTCCTCAACTCGCTGCCCATCTCAGAGAAAGCAGACTTGACTTTACCTCGAGGAATTGGTGAGAAGCTGCTTCTGCGCCTTGGAGCCAAGGAACTTGGCCTTAAAGCTTCAAGCATTCTGCCAAAAAGGGCTGTACAGTTTGGATCTCGGATTGCAAAACTGGAGAGCAACAATGAAAAAGCACACCACACATGCAACAGACTGAAGTTATTTTAGTAGATGAATTATAAAGCTATATCTGAAGATATTATTTATCCTATTTGTAAATTCAGTAAATCTTTGGGTTTTTTTTAAAAAAAAGTTTGGCTTAGTTTGTTTGTTTTGCACATTTGGGCATTATTACAGTCAACAGAACAATACACATAGTACATACTTGTCGTAGACACATTATGAATGCGTCCTTAGGGGAGAAGGGAATGCTGGTCTCTGTGGAGCAGAGGATAGCCAGAGATTGGCATTTCTTCTCCTCCTTCCTCAGCTAAGTGCCTACTGAATCTTCCAGTCTGTCAAGTTATGGTTTTAGAAGGGAGAATGCGGTGTAGAGCTGACCTGGATTGCTAGAACCACCGAGAGCTGAGGGTCGTGGGCCACTGCCCCCTATGCATCACACTTAACCTTTTGGTTTTCGAGGTATTAGCCTTAGGAAACTATGCGTAGTTGTCAAGCCATGAGCTGAAACAGTGATGGAGCATCTGGTGGGAAGGCAGGGCAGACTCGGGGAGCTCAGGTGCATGCAATGTATCATGCAATGTATCTGAGCGAAAGGAAGAGTGGGACCAGGATCCACCCCTTCCCAGAGCTCATTTAAGGGCTGGCAGTGGAGGTGATGGCATCTTGCTGGAGGTCCGTGCATACCTGAGACCTTCTGAAGGTAAGCAGCTTCTTTCCCTTATTTCTTTGTGTGTTGCTGTTGGGTTTGAGCAAACCCTTGCTCGCTGCAGCCTGGGATCTTGTTGCTCTGCTGTCACTGTTGTGCTATTACTTGACACCATGCAATTTGGTTTTAGCATTTTTGCTTTCAGTTTAACCTATTACTTATCAACAATAAATTCATCATTATTCCTTAAAGTATGGTTATCACTATGATTTGCAGTTTCTTGGCCAAATGTTTGTTTCTGTAAGGGGGGAAAAAAAAAAAAAAAAAATGACTACATACCAGGGGAACCTGCAGTAATGCTTGTGTTTTTTTATCTTGTCCTTAGGAAATGTAGTGGTTACTTCCAAATAGTGCTGTAACTTTTTGGTTAAATAATATTCTGTTCATGTTGTTAATAGCATCTCGAAATATTGCATTTTAAATACTGCAGAATATTCTTGAGGGATACTCAGGCCTGACAAAAGTGTTACATGGAGCTGAATGAGCTGATGAGGCGACCTAGTGGTCAAACGTGGCAGTGCAGGAAAACGCTTGTGCCTTTGCTGTGACAACAGCAAGCAGCACAACTTCACCATGTCCCCTAGGTGGCTGGCTTTAAGCAGAGACAAACTGCTACCTCGCAGAGCTTCCCACTGAACTGCTGGGCCAGCTGAAAAACGAGTACGTTCCCTGACAGCATCGCTGCAAGCACTGGTGGATTCAGGTATGCTCTTCTACGGTTAAGAAACCCACTGGACTTTTGAGAGATGGCTGGTGGAATTTGCTGGCTAAACCTTTCAGCTGTGTAGATGTCAAATAGCACAGCACTTGTCAGCATACATGGATATAAAAGTTGGACTAATTTTCATCAGGACTCAGTATGTAGTGGAAGTGTGAGGCACGCATATGCAAAGACAGCAACTTGATTGTTGCATTAACAACTGTACAATTCAAACATTTAACAAAGATAAAACTTAATGATGGATTTTGTGTTTACTTAATTTGTTTAACTTTAAAAGCAGAATGACTCATGAGGTGACATAAACTGATGATGTTCCATGTATTGTAACGATATCCTGAAGGTTAGCATGGGGTGAAGACAAGGCATTCCTGTTTGTGTACATGCTAGCAGTGCAGGGCTGCAAGGTATCTGCAGGTCAGCTGCCCTATGACCTTATTCGAGATGATGAACTGTGTGCAGAGCATTACTAGCATTACTTCCTAACAGCCAGGGGTTGAGGAACTTGTTCCACTCACTATCCTTACCTCTATTGTGAAAGAATAGATGGCTGGACTTACCGTTTCTGTATGTTCTGTTGTTTTTAGTATGTCTATCGTTCTTCTTCAGCTTCAATTTCTGTTCCCAAAACATGGCTAAGGCTTGTGCAATTGCCAGCAAATCATGCATTGTTCATTCTCTATTTCTTCCAATGTGAGATGCATCTTCTATACTAGAAATAGTGATGTGGTAGTGCATGTACTTGAATGCAGGCACACATTTGCAATAAAAAAGTCATTACTTAATCCTTGTAAACGTGAGAAATTAATTTGTGATTAAGAGTAACTGTCCCTTATTATAACATCCAGGCTGCAGTTAAGCATGCATCAGTCTTCACTTTTAATTGGAACAGCGATTTGCAGGATGTATTATAAGAGGAAGAGTTTTGTTTATTCTGATGGTCTTAGGATTAGCCTCCAAATAATTTAGAAAGTAACAATTTCAGTTTAGGAGCAATAACATTATAAAATGAATAAGTTGCAGACATTAAAATTAATATTTCTTGAATATCTACATGGATTTGTTACTTGATTAGCGAGAATGTCTCTTAAGTGGCCTAGAGCACAACTACATTTGGTTCATATGGTTTCAGATGTTTTTTTGAAATTAAAAAAAGTAGCTAGCAGTCTAGTATGTTTGCAGAAGGCTCCAAAGGCGTAACTGCTGTTATGGTCCAGCCACAACAGATGCATGGCTTCTAGGCCCCAAGTTCAAGAAGATAATCTCCACGCTACCAGAAATGGCTTTTCAGAAAGGTATTTACAGGGTATTGTGATACAGAATTCCTGGTGTGCTGGTTGCCCATACAGCTTTTTCCATTAGTCTGCTTGTGGAGAGATTCAAGAAAGCACTTGACGTCATCACCATACAGGTTGATGGAATTATTCAATAGTTAAGTATCCATGGTATGAAGAAGTAAAATAAAAAAACTAAGACTTGCTCTGATGCAAAAAGACAATTAAGGTTTTACAAGGTAACATTGGGTTGAAGCAGTATCTACAGCTATTACTCCACCTCCTGGAGAGATGTGGTTCTGAGCAAGTGATGCTGAATTACCATTATAATAAAGACTTCTGCTTTTTCTTTTCAGCTAGTATTGGAGGCCTATTTTCTTGCATTTGTTCTGACTTCGGTGGATGCTTTCTGTCTCTTCTCTTGATTATACTTTCATCAACTCTGTGTACATCTCTTTGTCCATCTTATCTGTTTTTTGAATGTTGTTGCTAAAGTGACAAATTCTTGTATGAACTGAAATAATACATTTTTTTTGATGAAATGGTTACTTGCTAAGAAAATACATTTTAAGTAAGCATAAGAACTGTATTTCTTCTATGTTTGTACAGCCCCAGCCACTGAGTGGAGCTTCCAGACTGCTCACAATCTGCTATAAGTAGTATGCAGGAACAAAGCAGTTACCCACCTAATGAGTAACTTCAGCAGAGATGGAAAAATAAACCAGAATTTTGTCAATGAATTTCAACAAGACAGACAAACATGGCAGCCTCATTTGTGGTACTGCATACTGTACTTACACATGTGCTTTATGTAAGTTAAATATTAATGCACTCTGAAGAACATGTATAGAAAGGAAGCTTCTATTCAAGAGATGTTTTTATAAAATTGGTTTATATATAAACAGGCTTAGTGCTGTATTTATTCCAGTTAAAACCTATGTGATGAGTAATGAAATCATCTAGCACAGATTGTCAAAAGGCAAGGTGAAATAACACGTGAGCATCAAAACCCAGAGTTTGCATCTTAACAGCTCGTTTGTCCTCTTACCTACATTAAACTGTTATTCTTTTTACTTTAAAAAAATAAATTAATTAATTAGTGCTAGTGATTTAACCCTAGATCTTAATTCTAGTGAGTAGGAATCATCTTCTTTCACTAGCAGAGAAAAGTAGGTGCTGTTGAAACTCAGTTGTATTGGCACAGCTACTACGTGGAGATGTTTTTATTTCTCTGGTGGATGTTACTTCAACACTTGTAAGCCACATAAAGTCAGTACATGAAAACTGTCTCAGTGCTGTTGCAGTGAACAAGTTTTAGCTGCATTTATTGTATTACTTATGTGCTTCACATGCTGACCATTGTATCTTCTTTAGTCTTGGCACTTTGATGGAATCCTCTTCAACTCTTCTTGAAATATCAATTCCAAGGGGAGCTCTAGAAAATCAAGTGACCTGTATGTTAAAAGGTAAGTAGTGCTATTGCTGTGGTAGGATGACTGTACCCTGTACTCAGATGTGCAGATTCACAGACCTTGTGTACCATCAAATTGGGAAATTCCCAATAGTATGTTTAGTAAATGGTGCCCAATTCCCAAATGCTGAGAATTGGGCAGCATGTTCACAAATTCCTCACTCGTAAGACTGTGAAAATGCTCTGAGCCTGTGCCCAAAAACATCTCTAGAATGGGGAGTTGTCTACATTTTCAGCTGTTCCTAACTCACGAAGGTCTGTGACTTCACAGCTGCCTTTGGGGGATGTTATTCAGGTTCTGATTTGAGCTGATAAATAATGGTACATTCCAGTAATGAATGCAAGACACATCAGAGATTGACAGGTATTTTTCTCTGATAATTGTATGGTATATATAGTTACAGCAAAGATAACTTTGTATTTTATTCATTGAGTTATATTTTTTTATATACATACAAAAGCATTCTTTTTTGAAAACAGTATTTTACCATTTCTTATGTGAAAATGGTAAAACTTCCATCCTGAAACCCTCCAATTGTGTGTTTTCATGGCCCTGGAAAAGGCACAAACTGGATAACAACTGAAGAGTTTAAGACCAGCTGGCACTTGTAACACACTGACAATTCAAAACAATACCTGGCGTTTTGGTCAGTCCTAAGCCCAGGGTCTACTTGAATCCCGAAAACAAGCCATATTTAACAAGCTATTAAAAAATTATGTCACACGTGAATTTTTAATGTAAAATCATCTGATGATCAGAGGGCTGTCCCTCTGGGGCTCTTCAGCCTGGAGAAGGCTCTGGGAAGACCTTACATCAGCCTTCCAGTACCTGAAGGGGGCCTACAGGAATGCTGGGGAGGGACTTCTTGTAAGGGCAGGTAGTGACAGGAAGAGTTAGCTTTAAACTGAAAGAGGGTAGATTTAGACCAGCCATTAGGAAGACTTTCTTCACTGTGAAAGTGATGAGACACAGGAACAGATTGCCCAGAGAGGCTGTGGATGCTCCCTCCCTCGAAGCATTCAAGGCCAGGCTGGATGGGGCTGTGAGCAACTGGGTCCAGAGGGAGGTGCCCTTGCCTATTGCAGGGGGTTGGAACCAGATGATCTTAAAGGTCTCTTCCAATCCAAACCATTCTATGATTATGAAAACACAGTTTGAATCAGAGCATTTAAGTTTATGACTGCAACAACTAAGAAGCTAGGGAGAGCGTACTATTTAGCTTGCTCCTGCTTTCCATGCTACCACAGTAACAGTAAATACATAAAACTTTATGATGTATGGTGATTCAAATCTCTGACTCAAAACAAATGCTGAAGATAATAGAATCATTAAATGGTTTGTGTTGGAAGGGACCTCAAAGAGCATGCAGTTCCAACCTTCTGCTGTGAGCAGGACTGCCAACCACTAAATTGAGCACCAGATCAGGCTGCCCAGGGCCCAGTCCAATCTGGCCTCGAACACCTCCAGAGATGGGGCATTCACAGCCTCTGTGGGAACTAGTCCAGTGACTCACCACCTCTTTGAGTAAAGAATTTTCACCTAACATCTAATCTAAATTCTACCTCTTTTAGTTTAAAGCTATTCCCTCTTATCCCATCGCTAGCAGATCATGTAGAAAGCTGCTCTCCCTCCTATTAATAAGCTTCCCTTGAGTACTGGAAGAGGATGACATGTACTTAACAAATACATAGAAAAGGAAGTGATGGTAACTTTGGAAGCTTATATGCCCTCTAGAGACATTCCTCGTCACTTTGTCCTAGTCTGTGCTTCCACTTTCACTGAGTACAGTGAATTAATGAAGAGAAAGACTGAATGAACTGAGTCACTTACTTTGGTTCATAGCGGATGCCATCAGTACTGTACAAAACACCACATCCTGCGTGCAACCTTTCAATGCCATTCCTAAGCAAGAAAGCAATTATGTGTAAGTGTCATAACTCTCTGAATATATAAATATATGGTTTAGTTACCATATACAGAAATGCCCGATGCTGATTATTTTAAAGAATGTTACAGAAACACACAAAGAAAACCAGCCCTTACCATGCAATCATAACACCATTATCGGTGCACAGTCTTGGAGGAGGAGACAGAAAAGCAAAACCATTTGCACTTGCCAGAGTTTGCAGGCCTTTTCTGATATACTGATTACTTGCAACCCCTCCTGATACGACCTAACAGCAGTTTTAAGTGGGGGGAAAAAAAAGAAAAAAGGTATTAACTCAAAAGAAAGACCTCCTAGGTCAAACTAAATTAGCATCCTATCTAAAAAACAAATACATCAGGTAAAGTTTTGAAGACTGCAATAAAAAAAAAAAGTTTTTTCAAGCTAAAGCCATTTTTGAAGACTGAAACCCTATTAGAAAAGAATGTGAGTGTATTATGGCTAAAAACTATTCCTGAGTGAAAGCATGCTATAAATAGAACTGCTATGAAGTACTGGGCTGCCCTAGATCAAACTGTCTGACATGAGCTGTTAGAAAAGGTCAGGTTAGTTGGTGTGAAAATCCCCTTCTAGCTTAAACCCTAACTATGAAAGATGTCATAGAAATACCTGAAATCAATATTACTTTAATCCTTGTATTCTATTTATTTGTATTATTTGTATTCTATTTGTATTTGTATTCTATTTATTTGTATTATTTGTATTCTAGCTAAGTTTAATACATACTGACATCTATGTTATGTGTCAGTATGATTAGTTCTGTCACAGGGAATAGTACAGGGAAATCTGCATCCTGAACGACATTGCATTTAAATATGAAAAGCAACATGCAAAATGATACAAAAATGATGTGTACCCACCAGAGTTGCAGTTCTTGGTAGTAAAATGCTATTTTTTAAGCAGAAAAGCATGGCTCGGTGTGTCCGCTGGATAATATGAGCAGCCACTACATGCTGTACAGCTGCAGCAATGTCCTTAACGCAGGATAGGAGTTCACCCTCTTGAATACCTACAAAAATGTATGATTAGATGGGTTTTCCTGTGTATAGCTCATGAAGTACATGGGTCGTATCTGACTTTAAAAATACCTTCTTCTTTTTCTTTCTGAATAATGGATTTGTTGACAAGGCTCTGAAGTCCAGAAAAAGAAAAATGACAGTTACGATACTGCTGCATGGGAAGTCTGAATGTGTACCTTTGCCAGTCTCCAGTTTGAGCTAGGTGCTCTATTGCCTTCCCCCCAGCCATGCCGTGGCACTCTGGGTGCTTTATTAAAGAGAGCCTTCTTGCTACCTAAGGAGAAAATAGAGAAAATAATTACAGGAGGACTTAATGTAGTTCTCTGCATCATTTTATGCAATCAGCATACAGTTTTTGTTTTTTTTTTGCCACAGCAATGAGAAATGCAATTCCAGAACAAGTTGAGAAGCAGGACCAGCAGATTTTGCAGGAAATGTTGATTAGACCTCAGACTCTCATACTGTATTACTAGGTAAAGGAGAGCAAAGTTGTTTTCAACTTTGAGCCATTTCCCATTCCAGCCCTCCTCTTTCAATGCATGAGCACAAATATAATTTGTTTAAAAAATATGGTTGCTGGAAAACAAAATTGGAAGTGCCTGATTTTATAGAATGCACTCAGTAACCCAAGCAGTATAGACTGTCAAAGCCAAATCGGGCTTTTCAAACTATTAAAAGAACAAATAACTACAGAACAACTAGTAGCAAATGTTTTAATGTGTATTGTTTTAGGTTTGGCAGTATCCTTTAAAATACTACTATTGATCTTATCAAGTTAATACAACTCATTTGTATAATGGTTCTCATCAAACCTTCCATTACCAGCTTCAGTTATGCCATCTATTTGCTAAAAATACAATTAATAAGCTAGTTAGTACTGGTACTACCAAGGAGCATAGATGTCTAATAGCCTCTTGCGTCTTAAATTTATGGTATTTCAAAACAGACAAAAGAAAACAAAATGTAAAGCTCCTGTCACGTTATACTGCTGTACTCAGGCTAATGCTAAGACTATGCTTAAGTAGCTTAACTGCAATAGAAGGAAAACAAGTAGATTCACATGTGCGTTGAAATATTACCTTATCCAGCATATCACCTGGTGCTATATCTATGGTCTGTCCAAGCAGAAGGAAATCTGAAACTCCTCGTGCTACTGCCAAGATGCAGTGACCTCCGGAGAGTAAAAGAACTAAGAAGGGAAATTCCACTTGCTCTGTCAGTCTGATGGTAAGTGCATGAGCCTCCATGTGATGAATGGGTATGAAAGGCTTCTGGTATCTGTCCACCAGCTGTAAGCTGTACTGCAGTCCCACCTCCAGGCTCAGCGCAAGTCCTGGTTTCACTGTAGTTGCAATAGCAGCAAGTTCATCTACAGAAACTCCACTGGCACTAAGCGCTTCCTTTACTACTTGCTGGATGTTTTCTCTGTGAAGCTGTTGTGCTACATGAGGAATTATTCCACCTGCTCTAGTTAGAAACAAGTAATTGTAATATATTAGCATTTCGTAACACAATCACAACAATAGCTTTTTCAACATCTTGTAAACTTGCCCTACCCAGCCCTTTTTTTTTTTTTTTTAGCATGTTTTCAAATGCCTTGTTTAGTCTAAATGACACGAACTATATCTGTGTACTGAATGGAGCATAATTATCACTGGGACATAAGGAAAGAATCCAACTTTCCCTTGCTTGGCATGCATTCCTCTTAAATCTGCTGCTACTCTTAAAACTACCTCTATGCCATTCCAAAGCAATGGCTGAAACTGAACACAGCCTTCCACTTTCCAGTTGATGTACTTATCAAACAATGCCTAAGTCTGATTAATTTTCACCTAACTGAAAATATTTTGTGGTTTTAGTAGTGCCGCTGTAGTGTTTAACCAAAATCGATGAAGAATTTGTGTACCTTTGTGGAAAGAAATTAGCACAAGAAGATGAAACTTAATAAATGCACAGCATTTCTTTCCACAGCCTTGCGGAGTGAGCTGGAGACAAAGAAAGACAGTCTTTGTATGAGAGATAATGGCCTTAAGTTGTGCCAAGGGTGGTGCAGATTGGATATTAGGAAATGCTTCTTTGCAGGAGTGGTGAGGAGCACAGGCTGTGCAGGGAGGTGGTGGGGTCACTGTCCCTGGAGGTGTTCATGGAAAGGGTGGATGTGGCACTGAGGGACAGGGTTAATGAGCACAGTGGGGACAGGCTGATGGCTGGACTTAGAGGACTTTTGTGATTGTGTGATACCCTCTTCGCATCAATTTTCCTGAGATGCTTTCATACTGAAGCTATCACAGATAACAGTGGCGTCACTACCGAGCACCTGCAGCCACAACCACGGCTGCATAAGAAGGATGCTATGAGCTGTATACACTTACTTCAGGTGCACCTCCTTTTGGCTCTGCAGCGCTTCTCCCAGCACCCTGCCCGCCTCGTCCAGCACCGCCGCGCCCGTGTCATCGCAGCTGGTTTCGATGCCCAGCACAAGTCTCGGGGGCCTCGCACAGCGCGTGGAGCTGCTGCTCAGCCACGCAGCCGAGCCGTGCCTCGCAGGCTGCAGGAGGCGCGTGGCCGCGCCGCTCATTGGCAGCAGTTGGTCTCGTGGTGATGTCTGGAAAGGAGCTGTACAACTGATCGTCACAGAGGGGTTTCCAAGTACGTACTGTTACAGAACTCAAGTGAATTAGCTGATTATAAATAGAATACACCAGGTTGAGTCAACATCCCTGGATGTGCTTGAAAACCGTTTGGATGCGGTGCTCGGGGACATGGTTTAGCAGAGGGTTGTAAGAGCTAGAGTGCTATGGTAAGGACGTGGTTGGACTCGTTGATCTTTAAGGTGTTTTCCAACCTGAGCGAGTCTACGAATTATTCTGGAATACCCCGCGGTTTTTAAGAGCTTAACAAGAACTGGCGTTGTTGTTGGAGGAGGCGGGGACCCGTGGCTGTGCTTTACCTGAGGACGATGCCTTCGGGATCTGCCCCGCCTACCGCAGCCCCGAGGAAGGGAACGCTTCGCACCGCGATCCGAGCAGCCTCGCGTCGCTGCCTCCGTAGCCCGATTCCTGCCAGCGATGAGCTTTACCTTCGAGTGTTCCTCGTGCTATTTCGCTGCCCACAGCCTGTTTTTAAGAGCCTACAAACCGTGCACGGCGCACTAACAGCTACAGCGTGGGCGGACTCAGCATGGGGCAATTTGGCAGCCGTAACCGCAGCCTTCCCGCCGTCCCCGGCCGCCATCACGGGGCGGGGCAGATCCCGGAAGTGACGCTGCGCGGTTCCGTGGCGGCGCCGCCATCTTTGTGCCGGAAGGTAGCGCGCCCCCTGCCGGCAGCACGGCTCCCCTCCGCCACCCGCGTCAGCGCCACCCGTGCAACCGGGGGGTGTTTTACACAAACGCTGTAGAGCGCTGAGGTAAACCGTGTGAGGGATGTCAGTAAAAAGGAGCCAGCTCAGGCTTCATTGCACAAAGAAGGAGTTATTTACTTCCAATAAATCAGAAAAGTCGCGCTTTTTGAACAGCATCTTCATCACACGTTGGTAAATTATCCCGGCAGGAAAACAAACATTTTTTCCTTCTCTCCCCTCCCAGCAACCAGCAGACAAAGCGAGCCTTCCGCCAGCTCCGAGCTGCCCGTGTCCGGCAGCCGTGGGGCAGGCAGGCAGGCAGGCAGGCACAGGAGCTCTGCACCTCCTCCCGTCCGCCGCCAGGGCAGCTCACGTGGGTCACGCACCGCTGCCGTTCCCGCAGGTCTCCGTACAAGTCCTTCCTGTGTTTTTTTGCAAGCTGTACGCGGTCCGGCCGTGTCATCTGTCTCTTCACCTGCTGCTCGCACCGCTTCTGTTCTGACCTATTATCTGTGCAGAATTTCTCTTATTCCTCTCACTTGTTCTATGGTGTAGCTGCTTCTCCTTGGTGCAGGGCTCAGCAAGTCCCAATTACAGATAGAAAAGTCAATGTTCTGTTAGCAAACTGAAATAAACACAACAGTGGCAGCTTGCAAAAGCATACCTAAACTGAGCTATCGAGTGCACGTAGCAATCCCTGAGCCGACAGTTATGGACTTTCTCCAGTCTCTGTGACAAAAATGACAAGGACAGATAAGGCATGAATCATACCATCCCTTTTTACCAACTGTCACGGTATTTACTGAGACAATCTTGCATAATGCAGCAACAAACACACCCGTTCACAATCCACAGAGCAGGAACCAGCTACTTTCACCTATCTACAAAGTGTTGCCAGTCCTTTGAATGGAGGCTGCTGGATTTATACAGTAAGTTACCATTTGCGTCACGGCTGCCTGGCGCTGGTGAAACATCGCTCCCCATTTCAGCAGTTATTCACACCTCCCTTACCTGCCTCAGCCAGACCTACATCTGCTTGTAGTGCTGATCACACCATAGAGCTGGGCCTGCCTTCAACTTCAGGAAATCTTCCATCTATAAGTTTCCTATCCACATTTCGGTATTTGAAGGCATCTTAGAAACTCAACTTTCGCCCCAGACAGTGCTGCAAGGAAGTAGTAATTGTATCTCAGATGTAAATGCATCTCTCATTGAATACAATTAGATAACAGCAGATTATTCGTTTCCTTTGCCCAAGAAGTGGAGTCTGTGTCAGGATCAGTCAGCATCACACCTTCTGTCTAGTATTTATTGATGCCAAAGATTCGAACACCGTGCAATTGTGGCAGCTTGGGGATAAGCACTGTCAGAAGAGAGGTGGTGTTGAAGATAAAGTGTGTCGGATCATACTTTGTGTAGAAACTCGCCAGGAAGTACCTGCAGGAGAAAAGGGAGCAAGCTTAATTGCTGACAGCCTTATCCACAAGCACACCAACAAAGCATGGCTGGAAAAAGATGCTACAGTGATCAGCTTAATTTTACCCGTTAACCATGGATGTGTTCTTGTATTAAATACCTCATCTTAGGTTCTAGGATGTTATACAACAGTATTGTAGACTAAGTATCTTCTTCCAATACTCCTCAAAGTGCTAAAAAAACAACTCTACAGAAATGTCACAGCAGTGTGTTGTTTTCCCTACAGCAAACAGGAAACATTTATTCAGCTTCTTAGGTGTGTGAAGAGTTGTGTGCAAGTGCTGTAATACAGCATTCCTACAGGAAACTATCTTTGAAGAAAGAGGATTTTTTTTTTGAGCAGTTACACGTTTTTATTCCCATTTCTTTCCGACGTAAGACAACTTCCTATGCAGAATACTGTGTCTTCCCTCTCACCCCTCAGCCCTGCCAAGCAAGCAGACAACTTCCTTTTAGGAAAAACAGAATGATTTTTTAGAACTGGATATTAAATACGTATCAGATTTCTTTCTGTTACGCAACCATACTTTTGTCAACAGAAACAGGTGGTGCAGAATTTCCAATCAGTCTATTTACATAACTAGTGTAAACAGAAGGCAATCTGTAATAGCCTGGATCCCCTTCGTGAGGACTGCCGCATTCCTCGCAAATGACAAGTTACAGAACGGTTAGCAATTACTGCAAAGTAATGGACATGCACTAACAGACAATTAGCTTAGCTTTTCAATATTTACGACTTCACAGTCTTCTTCTAAAGAACTTCAAGAGTTGATAGGTTTTCTCACAAGGTTTCTAATATTTAAAACCTATTCCATTAATAACCATTTACAAACTTCAACTCCAGTACTTTGAATTAGTGTTGAAAACTGCAGGAAGATTGTTGACTATGCGGCCTGTAAATAAGTACTCCCTAGATACAAGCAAAAAAAAAGAAAGAAAAGTAAATTGCAACTCATTTAATGGAGGCTTTTAAGCCATGGTTTTGTGACTCACTTCATTCATGATATAGTTTAGAACTCACAGAATTATAGGAGAGATTGTGAAGAATTTTCTTGAAGATGTAAATTGTACTCCATAATCCAGTTGTTCCCAGTGTGTCAGGAGCCTCGCTTTCCCCTGATCAGGTGTTTCAAAAGGAGTCCCCTTTACTGCATGCAAGAAGACATACGTTCCCTGGAGGAAAATAAATGAGTACATTGGTACTTTTAGCTATTACGTAATTGCTACATTGTTCAATGCATTGCAAAACAGACAAACAAACAAAACAAAGAAAAAAGAGTAAATGAATTATCTAAAAGAGCTGCTAACCTGAAATAACAAATTATAGCAGAGCAAAGAAGAGCCAAGAAGTGCTTTGCTTGAAGTTACAGTCAGTGGCACATTTGGCATTAAAGCCAAAGTCTACGTGAGGCACAACGCAATGCTTCCTCGTCTACATTAGATGGCAAAGATCACATGAAGCCAACAGAATTTACACAAGCACTGTAGCAAGTTCTGGGCTGATGATTTATGTTACTGCTTTCCTAGCACAGTATGAAATTGAGTTATGAGGCAGAGTTTGCACAAAGTAGAAATCTACAGCTGGTGAATACTGGCAATATACAAGAACTTCCAAAAGCTTCCTCAACTTCCCACTAGCTTCAGATGCTTGGAAGCTGAATACCAGCAACCTACAGAATACCATCTGTCCCTCTCCTTAACCGTGTTGGTTTCTTTGTTACTGTCTGATGGAAAGATGCCATGGCTAGGCTGTTCTGAAAGATGAAGTAGCAGCTGTCAATTCCAGATAGGAGAGCCCAGTTTCAACAAATGAGCAAAGCTTCCAATTTTAACAATCATTTGTCTTTTATCTGCCAACTCCAAGCAAGAGTCTCTACCAGAAAATATCAAAGAGTTCAGCATTCTTCCAGGTGCATCCACTTCTCATGCACAGAGATGGAAAGCTTTATCCAGAAACAAAATCTCGCTTTTCTGAAGTCTTATGAAGGAGGTGAAAGCTGACCAAGCATCTGTTTTTGAAACAGCCTCTTGTCTGGAGGTCTACTGGAGAATTATTTTGCTTAATTAATTATCTGATTCATGCTTTTGCCAGCACCTCAATTTTAATAACAACAAAGGCACTTTCAGGACATCCAAATGCTTACTCCACATTTCATTTTGCACTGATACATGCAGAATGAACCCAACCTAAACCCTAAAATTGCTTTTAATGTCAGCTAAAAGTTTTCTACATTCAAAGATAAATATATAATTTTAAACAAAAAGTGCTATTTAAATGCTTCAATACCCAAAGTGCAGTTTAAATCCATCTTCTGCATTCCACTAGAAAACAACTTGGCAAGTGCATGCTATCATCCCTGCTGTCATTATAGCAACCTACATGAATAGCACCATGGGGAGAAGAGAGAGAGAGATTTTTAAGATCTTCTGTAAGCAAAAGCCTCTGGAAGCTAAAGTCATAATTCATATCACAACCCACTAAATAAGAAATGGTTTCAGGGCTTGACCCAGTGTGATCGAGATCCTCCCAAATACAGTGTTATGGTTTTTTTCCATGTCGTGCATAGGACAGAGTTCTGCACTGAAGTCAGTCAGCTAAAATTTGTCTGGTTTGACTAGAAATCGAAGCAAGAAAAAGAACACAAATGCTTTTGTCTAAGGAAAAGTATCATCTAAAGCACTGAAATCAAACATGTTGAGATACAACCAGGTTTATACAGAAACATTAATAGATAATACTCTTTTTACATATTACATTCAGTGGATTAATGAATAAGAAATATCTCAAAGCCCTCATGTTTAAATCCAAAGCGATCCTCTATCACTCCTCCTCCCCAAATGAGCCAACCCATTCAACAGCAGCTAAGCCACATACAGGTGTTTTTGGTTTCAGTATCCACACAGCCCAGCTATTCCTCTTTTCGCCTGCTTTTAAAATTAAGCATTTGTGAACAACTTTCTCAACAAGAGCAGGTACTCACCAGGTTGTGAATCACATTTGTTAAAGTCCATGCGACAGGGACACTAAAGAAAGGAATGCTGAGCAGGACGATGTGAAGCAGGCCGATTCCAAGCGTGTACGTCAGCCACATCCCACGGCTGCTCATCACCCGCGTGTTTGGATTCACCTCGCTGTGGGCAACTCCGACATTCATTTTTACCCTACAGAACAGAACTGTTCCTAAAGTGAGACTACTGTATTGTAGAGGTATCTAATACATGCAGCTCCAAACTAGGGAAGAGGCTGGTTTAAAGAAGTAGGTCTGGAATGAACGCTGCACACAAACTAAGGCATACCTCAAGAGCTTCAAGTGAAGTGCGACTTATAAAGAAATCAAGACAGTTGGGGCTGTTTGTTCACAAAGAAACAACCAAGCAAATACAAACACCACCAGGTCTGCCACAACAGGGATGATGTGGGATTAGTGAACTGTGCTGTCACAAGGGCAAGGTGTAAACCAGCAAGGACACCAATCTTTTATCCCTTCAGTTCCTTTCTTCTGCCACTGATGTCAACTGTTCTTTCCCAGTTCTCATCAAACAGTTTTCCCTCATCTCACTCACATTACAGCTATTTGGGAATTTTGCATATACTGCCTGCCTGGCAACCTGTTGCTAGGAAGACTGAATTTACTCCTACTTTTTTCGTAGCATGAGATCAGATCTCAGCTTTCCATCCCCTGCAGGTTTTGGAACTCTTACCCTGCTGTTTTTATCTGATGATAGCCAAAGGCTCAGAAGGTTTCTACTTGACAGACGTACGCAAACACACACAAGGCAATTTCTAACCGCAATTTTCTTTAGGAGATCAGCCTGGTGAACTACAATTTGTATTAAGTACTAGAAAAAAGTTTGCTTCATTTCATGAAACATAAATAGTCATTTCAACATAAATAGTCATTTCATGACTATTTATAAATGTTTACGGACTGGGATGGAGAATTGTTAACTGCCTTCTGAATCAGTTGACAGGAACATTCACTAGCAAAAATAATTGGCTTATTTTTTTGTTAAGTAAGTTTGTTTCTAGTATTTTTTCAGTATTGCAGAGCACTGTCATATCTGTAACACCACAGATTAATGCACTATGATGTGTGTATTATGTGTGTAAAACATGTATTAACAGTAGTTGGTAACATGAAAACAGACGAGAGGAGCCTGAAATTGAACTGTGGCGATGCCAATTATAATCTCCCTTTGTTGCAAAGCATTTCATAGTTAGTCAGTATTGTATTTTGATATGATGAACCTATGTTTTCCTCAGCATCTCTCAGTTAATCAGCTGGACATGTTCTTCATCTACTGCATTCCTGTGTTTTCTTTCCTACTGCCAGAAACGCAGCTGTATTTTGGCTTAAGAAATTGGAACCAACTTCTCTACTTCCACCAGACGGTTTCATTCAAGGCCCCTACAAACATATCTCTGCGTCCAAACACACCTGCGCACCCAGGACTGCCACAGCACAGCTGCTTTGCAGGGCTGCAGGCTCCAGCCGCAGGGTAGGAAGCGTGTGCTGCTACGTGATGTGCGTGGAACCGGCAGAAAGGTGAGAAGGCGTGAGGCGACGCGGCCGCGCCAAACGGGGCACGAGCAGAAAGCATCTCACAGCCTGTCCTCTCACCTCACCGCGGACTTTTAGACACAGCGTGACAGAACAGCCCGGCTTGCTGCGGTGCCCCGTCCGTGGGGGTGCCCAAAGCCTGGAGCCGGTCGGGCTGCGAGCTCCCTTCCAACCCAGCCGTTCTGTCGTTCCACGTCCCGCAAGTCGGGCTCTCTGGACGAAGGCCCGCAGGAAACACGGCGTCCCGCTCTCACACGCCGACAGCGCACAGCCAAAACCCGACCTCCGATCCCGGAGGTCGGGAGCACCGCGACACGGACGGCCCCGGCTCGCCGCCCCGCCGCCCCCGCGAGCGCAGAAGAACGGCCCCGGCTCCCGCCCGCCGCCACCGGCCGCGCGCAGCCGACGGCTCGCGTCCATCCCGCCCGTCCCGGGCGCCTCCCCACCTTTCCGGCGCTGCGGGAACTCCGCCGCCCGTCCTCCGACCGCGGCCACCGAGGATGAGAAGCGCGGCAGCAGGTAGTGCCGGGCGGCCGCCCCGTGGGCAGGGCTCCGCGCGGGGAGGGGCCGGGCCGGGCCGCGCCGCCCACGGGGCAGCGGGACGCGCAGGTACGGGGGGCTGCGGGGCCGGGAGGGGCGCGGCGGGACCGGGCGGGCTGTGGGCCGGGGATGGGGGAAGGCGGAGGAGGAGGAGGAAAAGAAGGAAGAAGAGAAGGGCGCTTCTCGGAGCGCGGGCGCTGCCGCCTCCCTTGCCGCTGGGCCTAGGCCCGGGCCTGCAGCCGCGGGGCGGAGCGCGGGGCGGGCGGGAAGGGCCTCTGTGTGGGGCAGGGCGCGGGCTGGGGATGCGGCGGGGGTTTGCCTCTTTTCTAACACGGGCAGATGAAAATGAGCGCGAGCGTAGTGAGCTCTGCCTGTCGGAACGCAGCCTGCAGCCGGACAAACCTGGAGATTCGTCACCCCATCTTGCCCTCATGCTGCGGGCGTTCCGAGCTCGCACGTGCGTGTTTCTATGTTTATTTTCCTGTTTCCGATACGACGAGCCCCAGAAGTGGTACCCGAGAGGCAGCGGGCGTGGATGTGTGCTACTCACGCCCGCTGACGGCGAGGTTTGGGATCGGGAACGGGCTCAGAGCCGCTTCCTCCCTCTAAGCCCTGCATCGCGAACAGCTCATAGAGCGTTTGGCTCTGTGATCTGCGGTGTTGTTGTTTTCAGCTCCTCCCTCCCCTTTGTCAGCATCTTTTCACGGAGATACCCGACTCCAGGCTGGCTCTTGTCAATAAATCATCAAACATTTTGCGCAGGAGTCCTTTGTGACATGTGGATGTGTGCAGAAGTTGTGTGAATGATTAATGCTGGCCTGTATTCAGCAACACACCTCATCCTGTGTTCCTTCTCTTTGACTGTGGAAAACTGATTTGTCAGATCATTTTGCCACATCTGAAAGGCAAATTCACTTTGGAATGTAACTACTATGTATAAAAAGAAAAATTCTGCAGCTGTTCTCAGAAAAGCGCTCGTTCTGCTTCCTCTTCAAACACTGTAGGTTGAATTTATTTGTTTTGCCCAAGTAGCCGTGTATGTGCTTGGCCCTTTATGTCAAGTTGTGCTTCTGAGAAGGCTCCCCAGGCAGAGAAGTGCTGTGTGCTTGCTGTGCCAGCGGCACAGACCCTGCAGGATAGTCCTGCTCTGGGGGCTGGCTGCAGTGCCCTGCCTGCACACCTTCCTGCTATCCTGGCTGGGTCTGCTCCATTACTCCCCACGTGCTCATAGCCTCAGGCTGGATGCTGGTTGTGCAGTCAGAGGACCAGTCAGACTGTCCTCCACTAGGTTGCTTGAACGGATGCAACAGGAGCCCCATGTTGTGGGCTTTGTTTGCCTTTCAGTACAAACATTGGCCTTCCATGTCTTGCACTAGGGGGCTGCTGGATACAAAAGGGAGGTATTCCTTGAAGGTCAGGGTGGTATAGTGCTCAAACTGTTCTTGAGATGCAAAGAGCTGGTCATGCTCTTTCTGCCACCTTTCTCATATGTGTGAAAAACTGTGGTTGAGTTCTTTGTGTCATACTACAAGGATCACCAAAGACTTCAGTTGGAGATTGGTTAATTAGGCCTATGTATGTACTTAATGTTTAATACCTGCAAAAATTTGCAGATCCACTTACCATTTTCATGACAGTATTACTATGTATAACACAGCTGGAATTTTGTGGCCCTTTGTAAGTGTTTCCATTGAGAAGAGCATCTCTATTGTCTTATTATAATATGGGGCATCTTTATTTTCATGTGGAATACACAGGAATAAAGTGACCTGCCTGAGGGCATGCAGTAAGTCTGGTAAGAAAGGTAAAGTTACAATGCGGAAGATTTGGCTTTTTTCTCCTCATTGCCAAGAGGTCACAATGCCAGCTAATGCATCTTTTTCTCACTGTGCTGTCCCCACCTTCTTCCCCAGCCCCACAGAAAGAGGTCATGTCTCTTGAATTTTTGGCTGCTGGGAACTGTATGCAGAACACAGCAGAGCTGAGCTCAGAAATTTCAAAAGCAGGGAAAAAATAATGGCAGGAGTTTGGGAAAAAAATAGTGAAGATTCAAAATCCTTAGATTTTGTCATCAGTGCTAGAATTAGACATGGTACAGATAGATACACTGCCTGAAGATGTTTCTGATTAGTACTGTGGGTTACCACGCAGTCTGTCTTTTCTGTTACAATCACAAGAGCATAACCGCTTGTCACAGTAGTTTAGAGGAATGGCTAAATGTGGGGTAATATTGTTTTGCTGTTTTGCTCACTGTATCTCTGAGTTCTTGAACTTTTTGGAGGGTAGGAGTTTAGTCTGCTTCAGAAAGTATTTTCTATTCTGGACTTTGGTATACTGTTCCTTCTACAAGTCAAACTGCCATTGGCTGCAGAGGAAGCACTGTCCAAATGAGTGTTTACAATGTTACCCTTCAGCCTTAATGTTATGTTTCACATATTTAGAAGTGTGTATTTGTAATGGTGTCTTTTCCATTCCATTTCTTGTATCTTTCTATGCAGCTTCTCTAATTCCACTATGAAGCAGCTGTCAGCAGAAACTGTTCGTCTGCTTTCGAGTTCTCAAGTGATTACATCAGTTGTCAACGTGGTGAAGGAGCTGATAGAAAACTCCTTGGATGCCTGTGCCACAACTATTGACATTAGACTGGTAAGGCCCCTCTCCTTCTTGTACACTCGTGTATGAAAGGAGGGGCTGGGAAAGTTGTTCCTCTGCCAGTGTATTTTTCACCACATTGCTGTGGTGTGAGAGAACTTAGTGTTCTTTATAAGTATCTATTTTAACCTCAAACAAAAATAGTCCAAAATCAGTTCCCTGATAAGTCAGGAGATGGGCATACAGGAGTTGACCTGCAGGTGAGGTATTCCTCAGAAGCCATTGTAGTGGCAAGGTATAGGTTGAAGTCTGGACAGGTTTGTATCCTTGCTAACTTGATTAACCAAACTCTGATGGGTGACGTTATTTAGTGTCTTTGCCTGATGTGTCAGCCAGCTGTTACACAAGACAGGGAAACATGTGAGCTTGTAGTATAGCTTTAGATAATGTGATATTGCTTCCATTACAATATAAACCCAGTCATTTGATTAAAAATTGAACTGTGGCCAGGGCATTACGTGATATCTATTTGTTAATTTTAACCTCCACTGCGTTGCTATTAGAAAGACAAACACCCTGGAACCTGCTTTGTTAGCAGCAGGGTCAGCTACCTCAGTAACATGACTGTGCAGTAAGCATATGGAATCATACTTTTATTCTTGATGAGATGTCCTGGGTTTGGGTGGAAGTATGCTGGAACCTGCTCCTCTTTACTAGGAGTGCAGAGACTGCACAGGCATCAGTCTTATCAATTTCCCCGACTGAGCTCTGACAACAGGAATTCATGAGAATAATCTTTAAAGTCTAATTTATACCTGCATGTTCTAATTTAATAGAGTAGATGAGCAACAGCCTTTGTTGTTATTTAGAGCAGAATTAGGAAGTAGGGATCTCAGCTACAGGTTTGTTAATGTTACTGAAGTGGCTGTTGTAAAAGGCAGACAGTTATTTCTGCTTCTCTTTCCCAGTGCAGAAAGTGGAAGCTTTAAGTCTTACACCCCTCTCAGAGGAAGTTTAGCTCAGGATGAAAAGTTTCACTCAACAGCTGATCCATCTGGCTGCCTGAAAAGTGAAGACCTGAAACCACATGCTTGGCATTGCTAGGCCTTTCTGCCTTTCATGATCTGTTCATCTTGCTAATGCTGAAGACCAGTGAGAAAAGTGGATTATTTGTGCCATTTTATCAAGCTGAATTGATCTGAATTGGTTTGCAGAGAGTTGCGGTGGAGCACTGGAACAGGCTGCCCAGAGAGGTGGTGGATGCCCCGTCCCTGAAGGCATTCAAGGCCAGGCTGGACCAGTCTCTGAGCAACCCAATCTAGTGCAAATGTCCCTTTTCATTGCAGGGGAGTTGGACCAGATGACCTTGAAAGGTCCCTTCCAACTCAAATGATTTTACGGTTGTGTGATTCCGTGAGTTCTAATGGGTAGCAGAGATGGGACCATGAAGCTGTGATTAAAAGAACAGGGAGTTGCATGTCTTGGCAGCAGTGATGTCTTAACTTAAAGTAAGAGAGAAAAGAGTAACTTAAAGATCTTACAGCATCATGTGGTATTTAGGCCATTTAGCATGAGAGTGGTGTTACAGAATTCAAAGTTTTAACACTGTAATATTTAAAGAAAATGTACCTGAGTATAAGTGAATAATATTGGGATTGAAATGGGAATTTGTTCAGTAACATTTTGATTCAAGTTGAAGATGATAAATCTGCTCATTCTTTTTTCCAAAGCAGACAAATGGCATGGTTGTAAAAATTAAAATGGAACAGAGTGGTCTGTAGTAAAATGCAGAAACTGTGCATTGTAGCATACTGCAGCAGAGTAGGAGATTTTCTATGTCTTGACATGATTTTATGCCCAGTTTGGGTATATTATGGTTTCCATGTTGTTTTCCAGCAGGAAGATGGTTCAAATATTAGCAAAAACATTGTTTTTCAATCTGAACGTAATCTGAACATAGCACCATTGATTAACATGGAATGGAAAACATCTCCACATTTGTAGTGCATATCAACTAAATGTTGCAGTTGTCAGCCTACCTCAGAAGCTTTTGATGTCTCGTAGCACAGACTGTGTGCGAATACACGTATTCTCTGTAGTTTGTTTTGCATTGCATTCATTTTTCTTTGAGAAGTAACCTGTAAGTACATTACGTTTTCCTCAACTGCCTCCAGGCTGTGTCCAGGTGGAGCAACATGGCGAGTTTGTCTAATCAGTCATCCTTTGAGATGGCCCACTGTGTGCTCTGCACAGCATCAGTGGGCTATGGAAACATGGGAACCCCTCAGTTGAGACATTTTTTGGAAGCAAACCAGTTGTATGATTGCCACAACGTACCACACGCTACAGCACGCTTTTCTGGATGGTAGATCATAATCTTTTCAAAGAGCCACACATGGCTTCTGGGAGAGAAGTTGGCTTAGTGATCCTGCAGTTCTGCTCACTTTCTCCTCTTGCTTGTGATTTTTTTTCTTTTTTGGATGTCATTTCTGTGTGCGGGTTGTAGTGTTGCTGGAAGGAAGCATTTGTTTGCTGTGTCTGAGTTTGAGATGTTGGAGAATCTGAAGTTCATCTTTATCTGATCTCCTAATTGCCTGGGTTGTTGGAGATTTATCTGCTTATGCAGATGTTTATTGAAATGACAAGTAATCACGTATACTGAAATATTGAAAGAGAAGCACTGCTTGCAGTTCCTTTGTCTGTGCCTTAATGCATTACTTTTGCAATGCGTTACTGTTGTTTTTTTTTATATTAGGAAAATTATGGGTTTGACAAAATAGAAGTAAGAGACAATGGCAATGGCATCAAGGTTGCTGATGTTCCTGTTATGGCAGTTAAACACTACACCTCAAAAATAAACTCTTCTGAAGATCTTGAAAGGTTGACAACATATGGCTTCCGTGGGGAAGCGCTGGGATCAATTTGTAGCGTATCAGAGGTGAGTGACTGGACTGCTGTGTTGTGATTTGCCTGCTTCTGTGAAAGTTTTAATAAATATCACTGCAAGGTCTTTAAACTCTTCTGGCAGCCACTGGGAACTTGTTTTTGAAACAGTCTGGTTTGTGTGTGCTGTCTTTCCCCACCCCTAAGTCATATCATAAGGGTTAGGAAGCAATACAGATTTCTTGTTAGTGTCCTGCATACTGTCATACTGGTTATACCAGTGCTGCGTTTGTTTTCCTCAGCAAGAATTCATCAGAGACAGTTTGCTTAGTGTTTCCTGTCTTTTTCTGTCATATCAGCATATAGATATGTGATTCCTTGGAATGATGCTTTGCCCCCCCCTTAGTGTTATGATGTCTAACAGCTTGGCTGAGTTTGCTACTTGAACTGAGCTAACTCAGAATAAGAAGCAGCAGATGGTGGCCAGGAGATATCACTTCAGGATGCTGATGGCCCACATAGCTGCAGTTCTAGTAAGGATTTTCAGCCTTGATGTTATCTAAGTGATCAACAGTCATGGGATCTTGTTGCAGTCCATATTGTTCTTTGACATGCATGTGACTGCAGTTGCACAAACAGTTGTCTTTATGAGTAAACAGGAACCTGCTCCCTGGCCTACCTGAGTCTGATCCATATATCTGTGCTAACAGGGCTGGCATTGATAGTGTACTGATATTTAAGATTTAACTTGTAGACTAAAAGGAAGCTGGTTCAAAGCCATCTGAGAGATGTGAACACGCAGCATCTGCCTGTTCCATGGTTCTCTGCCTTTCTGTCTTTGTACTGAGACAAGGTCAAGTTTGGACTTGTCTCCCAAGGATCAGATACTGCTGGAAAATACTGAGATCACTGTCTGATGGGAACTGTCAGCTCTCAAGGTCAGGAGAGGTGTCAGAGGGTGAGAGAGTCAGCCTCCTTGCTACCTTGGGCTACGTTCACGTTGCACTAAGCAGGAGTGGGTTGCGTGTTTGGATGGAGGTTTCCAAAGAGGCTTTCAGAAGTGGTGGTGCGCTGGCAGATGATGATAGATCTCAGTGGTCCTGACGAGTTGTCAGGGCAGGATGCCATCTGTACCGAGCGTTTAATCAGCCTGTGTTGCATTTCATAAGATACAGGAGTAGGTCTGACTGGTCTATGAAGTACTATAGTAGGTATTTCGTTAATGTGGGGATCAGTAATTATGTTAATGAAATGCTCCTGGCGTTAATTGCATTCTGCCTACCCAAACTGCCCCCTGAAGTTTCAGTTAAGAGGTACATTACTACCAGCCCATAACTAGACCTGTAATATTGTTGTTTCCAAGTAATCAATTACTGTTTTTCTCTCCAGAGGCATGGCTGAATTCAGGATGATTCATATGAGGAAACTGAAATAAACCCAAACATCCTGAAGCTCTCTTTGAGTTACAGCCTTTATGTCTCCCGGGTGCTTAAAGCATAGCGACACTTGGTTCAAAGTATTGATAGCTGAACTCACAGAGCTGGAACTTTGTTCAACTACTGGACTGTAACTTGTCTTACTAAAGATGATCTATGTCTTACCTTAGCAGTTTACAGAACATACAAAACATAGGGCTTCACGATTGCCAGATACACTGGGTGTGGAAGATTAATACGCTCTTTGATAGCACTTACGTTTGTGTAACCTCACCTGAATTTAAGAAGCTGTCACAGTATGTCATCTCTTGAAGGCTGAAAATGCAAAATTATCAGTTGACTTAGTTGTTTGTTTAAGTTGTGTTTAGAGTAGAAGACAAAGAAGTATGTGTTGTAGGTATTAGGAGCAGCTTACACTGTGTAGCATTGCGATGGAAATGTGTAGCTTTTGACTAAGTGAGTGGGAAAATGAGTGATAATGCAGAATGTTTTCTGTGACTAAGAAACACCTGAAGGAGAAGAATTCTATAAACTAATTACATGTAGTTGTGGTGACTGAAATAATATGCTGTTAAGAGTGATAGCAAAGCTTATCTAAGCTCATTCTCATCTTTTTGAATCCTTCATTAACATGATTTTATTATTATTGTTCACAGGTTTTGGTCACAACAAAGACAGCTGATGATGATATCAGCACTCAGTATGTTTTGGATAGTAATGGGCATGTAACTTCTCAAAAGCCTTCCCATCTTGGCCAAGGTAGGATATTGTGTTCTACATTGTGTTGTGACAAGGATTTTGTTTCTTTGGGGCTCTGTTTGATGTCAAAATATCTGTTCTGTATTTAGAGGCTGTGTATGAGATCTTGGCAGCTGTGAACATCTCTTGCTTATGTCTGTCAGCCAAGAATGTGTTGTTAGCATGAGAAATAACATTTCAGAAGTTGCCTTAGGTAGTAATTTTAAACTAGTTTTGCCTTATCTGACTCTCTTCTTCAAGCCAACAGAGTGGAAATAAAAAAGCTGTAAAAATTCTGGAGGGAGAGAGTTGCCCTACTCCTCTGTGAGGGAGTACCTGGGAGCAGCATGGCCAACCCAGTAAAGTCGTGTGTATGGGAACTGCTGAGTCACGGCCTGAACCTCTGATTGATCACCTGAGGTGAGCCATGAGTCAGCCAGAGGAGCACAGGTGAAGGCAATTCACCTGTGCTGCCGGAAGGGGTGGAGCCTGGCTGCACCCCTCCTGGACCTATTTAAGAGCTGGCTACCAGAGGGGAAGGATCTCTTCTGGAGATCCCCTCTTTTGGTGTCTTCTGGTGAGCTTAACCCAAGGGTAAGCTCTTCCACTTATTCTCTTTTTGTGATCGTTGTCTGCTTTGCCTTACTCTCTTGATTATATTGCGATTATAACATCTTGATATCTATTGATTATACACAATCATATTGTAGTTATAACATCTTGGTTATACAGTCGTGTCTCCAGAAATTTGTGTGTGTGAAAGATCAAGGTTGCCATCTCCTCACAAGTGGCCTTAGTGTTCAGATGTGGTGTGGGTTTGGGGTTGCACTGGTCTTTCTTTGTAGTCTGGTCAGCTATTTGTTGCCCTGTAAGGCCATGCTGTATCCTTGTTTTCACACTCTTAACAGACCTGTGTTCAAAGAAGAGGTCATTGCTCCTTTCTTGTGATAAAGGTGGACCTATGAGAAAGCAGTTGCTGCTCTCCTCTATCTAACAATACATTTGTTAACCATCCTTCGCACATTTTGATTGAGCCTCGGAAGCTCCTTGTCAGTATTCTGTCCTGTGATGGGTGCAGTGCCTTGTAAATGCAGAGCAAAGCCTGCCTGCCAGACCTGGCTCTTGGTCAGCTGACTGGCAGCAGGGAGCCCTTGATTCAGAAAAAGCTGCCTAGGGCTAGTTAATGGGCAACTCTTGTAGAAGGAGCTGAATCTGAAAACTCTACAATGTAGACAGTTAATTTTAACGAGAGAGTCTTTTTAAGATTCAGGCTGTAGTGTTTTCCACAGCTAGAGAGCCCCTTATGGAGCCTGTGAATTGCATGGCTTTGTGTTCTGTCAAGATTGTTTAATGATTGGTATTGAAAAATGAATTCCATGGCATCTCTTTAGTACTTTGCAATATCTTTGTAGGGTAAGAATTTGCATGATCATATTGGTAGATTAATACTCCTCTTCTCACCTCGTATATGCCTTGAACAGAGGTACCTGGCTTTTAAGGCATACCCTAATGGGAATGCCAGCAAAAGACCTTAATGGAGCACAATGTTCCTTTGCTTCTAGATGGGTCTAATTGGTTTCTGAGTTCACTAATAAAGTGGTTAACTTAACGTGCACTCCAAGAGTCTTTGGCTTTAATTAATAGCTGATTCTAAGTACTCTCAGTGTGTACAAATGAATGCTTATAGCTGCAATCATAACTCTAGACAAAGGAGGGGAATCCAAGCTTACGTTGGTACTTATTTTCATGAGGTGACTGCTAATTGATATTTCTTTTCCTTAAGCTAATTTCATCTAGTGATCTGATTTGGTGTAGCTAGGTTTTATTTGCATGCAGTGGTACACAGACAGGGCTCTTCAAGGATACACGAAGTTTCCTTGCTATCCAGATGGTGATATGCTTTCAGTATAATGTCTGCTTGTTTTTTCGTCACCTGCCGTAGGTACAACGGTAACAGTCCTCAAGCTGTTTAAGAATCTTCCTGTGAGAAAACAGTTTTACTCAACAAATAAAAAATGTAAGGAAGAACTGAAAAAAGTCCAGGACCTCCTGATAGCATATGGCATCATAAAGCCAGAACTGAGAATAACCTTTGTACATAATAAGGTAATAATCGTTATTTCTCTGTCAGCTGTGTTAAGGATCTTTTTCTGATGAATTTGTGCAATTAATATAATACGTAAAATACTTCAACCCTAGGAATTGTCTTTCATCATAGATTAGTTTTAGACTTTTGCTTCTTTCTTCATTGTGTATTTATGTGCTTCAGGATGGTTACAGATTTTTATCTTAAAAATTTCTAAGACTCAGGCTCAGATCTGCCTTTTGGTCTGCTCCAGTAGATTTTGTGGATAAATGTATGAAGTATAAATGTTGTCTCTTATGCTAGTAGTTTAAGCTAATTGAGCCAGTTGTTTGCTATTGAGGAGGAGATCAAATTTGGAGGCTTCCTGGGGACTGCTTTGGCTTCATGGGCAACTGAACAGTCATTGAAACATACAGCTACAGAAATGACATGTTGGGTGATCTCCTGTACCTGGCCCTTAATTGCATATAGCTCGTTTTATTGGCTGTGCTCCTACTTTTGAAACATGGGAGGAAAGTTAGGCCAATGAATTCTCAAGTTGCTACAAAGTAGAGAGTGACATCTCCTGGCCAGACCCCTCAGCAATTCTTTCCCTCTTTAGACTATTTTTGTTTTTGACCCTCTTATTTTCCATATTTATTAATCTGTTTTAAGCAGCTTCTCTTTACTACCAAACACTCACAGTTGAGTTCCCTCTCAGTGGAAATGATGAGTGCTGCCGTGCTTTCTTAAAAAGACAACAGGTTGCCTGCCTGTGCCTGGAGTTGTCTAACATGCTCTGATGGCATACATATATGTACTTCTACATATCTCTAAGTGTAGATATTGTGAAGAAAAAAAAACAAAAACAAAAAGCCAGCTTTGCAGCTACTGAATTTGTATTCCAAAGCTCAGTGACTACTTTCAGTCTTATTGCATTGAGACTACAGGAAGATTGAAACCACAGACTGCAAGGTTTTGCACTTCTTAGGTTTCGTTAAGCACTCTGACTTATCTAGCAGTGCTTCACGGAGTTGGTGTTAAGTATTGGTTAAAAAAACCTAATTTTGTATGTAATTGATGGTGTGGCTTTTCCCTCTTTGATGGGTGTGGTGAAATTTTTCTGTGGTTAAGCTGAGGCTTTTGTTTACTGTTATTGATTGCTGCAAGGTCTTAGTACAATACATCAACCTCTTTTTTCCCTGTTTGAATACAGTTTATCTTCTATCACACATCTGGAGTTTGACATGCTGTGTTGAGGAAACATCTTTTTTATTGTAGAATGTGGTTGCTCAGTTGACTTTCTTGAACTTGTATGGGAACTGCTGAGTCACGGCCTGAACCTCTGATTGATCACCTGAGGAGAGCCATGAGTCAGCCAGAGGAGCACAGCTGAAGGCAATTCACCTGTGCTGCAGGAAGGGGTGGAGCCTGGCTGCACCCCTCCTAGACCTATTTAAGAGCTGGCTACAGCGGGGAAGGATCTCTCCTGGAGATCCCTTCCTCTGGTGCTTTCTGTAGGTAAGCCTTCCATTTATTCTCCTTATTTTCCTAGTCTATTTTGCCTAACTCTCTTGTGATTATAACATCTTAATATCCATTGATTACACACTTGGCGAGCCAGGCAGGCCAAATATAGTAAAATTTACATCATGTCTTTTCTTTGGTTTTTCTATAAATGGGTCAAGGGGGAGAACAATAATCCTCTAGAGAAAAGGATTCCAGGGCAGATCCAAGGATTTGAGGGATCCCCCTATTGTGAGTTAGCAGTTATCATTGAAAAGTGGGGTCCCTTACGCGTTATGGGCGATATCTCCCCATATCGCATGGTGGACTACTTTCAAGGACTTGGCAAGGATGTGCTCATCACTAAAGAAAGACAACTGTCTGCCTCTACGGTGGCATGGCCACTATTGAGTGCCTTAAATCATGTGGATATAAGAAATAATACTTTAGAGACTGAAAATCAACTTTTGAAAGATCTCATTGAAAAACTGGAGCATGAACTTGGTGTTTTAACAGGGAAGAAACCAATTCTACATCTTCCCATAGGCCAAGTTTGTAACATTTCAATAAATGACCAGACTCCTGAATCAACAGACTTGGTTGATCAGGAAAATAAAATGTCTAGATTAGATCTTGAATATCTAATTCTGACTGATCCACTGGAAGTCTGTCCTGTTGTAACCCAGAAAACAAAAAAGAGCAGGATAGACTGGCAGGGGTGCCGCCTGATCAGTGGCCCCCTGCTCAGACTCATTTACATGTAACGTCCCAGCCATACACAGCAACAGAATTAATGGATTTAGTACAGTGATTTTTGGCAGAAGCCTAGAGAAAGTGTGCCAGTTTGGTTATAAAGACTGTGGGATTCTGGGGCAGAAAGTGTTTTGGTGAATGGCCCAGAAATAGCCAAGTTGGCCACCATGACTGTGCGTCCTGCTCTCAGGTGATCAGAGGTTCAGGCCGTGACTCAGCAGTTCCCATACAAACTACACATCTATTGCATGGTTGATACAGATTTTGTATGTTCCCAGCTGTTTGGAAATTCTTCTTGATGCGCACTGAGATATTTGTGCCTCTTTTCTACCAATCCATCCTATTGCTGCTAATGAAGAAAGAGTGCAGCCAATGTCCTCCAGACTGTCTTGGTTATGTTGAAGGTGGTGGTTGTGAAATGCGTTATAGGGATGTTTTGTCATCAGGCTATCTCTGTACACATACAAACATTTTGTTCAGATTATGAAAGTGGAAAGTATTTTTAACAGTTGAAATTGTACTTTGAAGTAGAGGAAAACAGCAAGCTGAAAATGATAATGTTTAGGAGGGAAGAATAGTGATGAGAATGTACACTGTGAGGGCCTGTGGTTGTGATCGTGTAAACAAATCAATCTCTCTGTTTGCTGGCAATACACAAAATCTGCCCATCCTCTTTGCTTCAGAGGTAAATTCTTCAATTCCAAGTTTGGTAGAATGAATCAGTACAGATGCTATCTGCAGGCAGCATGTGTTCATTGTAATGGCAGAGATGTTGCACTGCTGCCCTTATTTATGTTTAACTTATATACACACACACACACAAAAAAAAAAAAAAAAGAAGCTGCTCAGATTGGTTTAAACACAAGAGGTCGCTCAGTAGCTGTTGTTGAGCTGGGAGAATCAAAGGCCCAAAACATGATATAGGAAATTTGGTTTGTCTGTGCACGTGTAACTGCTTTAAAACAGTCTGAAAAGTATGAAAACCAAACAAAAACAGGGAAAAAACACCCTTTGAATACACTTTCTTGTATTCCTACTGCTCCTGTCCTTTCTTGCAAAATAAAACCTGCCAATTGCACCATACCTTTTCAGAAATTCGAACTGCTGTGATTTAGGTGCATAACTTTCAACAGGTTGACATGCATTTGTTTTGCCATTATATAGCAAGTGAATTTTAATTCTTTTTCCTTCAGTTAAGTGCTTTTGTCATTAGCATTATTAAGTCAAACTGGAAGGTGCTTTTCCCTTAACAATCCTGTAGGGTATGTATGCTAGGATGCACTACTGAATGGGAATGCCTGTGATTTTTTTTTTTTTTAATTATTATTTTTTGGCAGTGCCTGTTGTATTTCTGTTTCATGTGCGCTTGGAAAATGAATTGCCTTTTTCAAATAGCTTTGTTTGTCATGGAGCTCATGGGTTACATATTAGTTTTAAAAAATGTGTATGTCCAGTTATTCAAACGAGTTCCTAGAATCTCAGATTCCTGAGGCTGAGCCAATACTTTCTGCTGCATTAGAAGATGATAGATGTCAGGAGTAAGATCAGGTTCCAAGACTTAAAAGAGCAAAGAGGTAGCAGAGATATTAGGTACTGCAGAAGGAGACGAGGAAAGATGGTTTGAAGATGTAGAAAGGGGAGTACAGTACAGTGCATTTCAGAAAGCTCTTGCAATTAAGTCTGGAAGGCAGTAAGCCAGTACCTTTTAAGATGATCCTTCTTAAAATCCTGTATTTTATAGGGAATGAGAATGGAAGAAAGCATAGCTCTCATCGTGCTGAGCAAGAATATATTGTGTGATGAGGAAGATACTTTCATTAATGTATCTGAAGTTAGGCGCCTGAAAATGGTTGTGTATCAGATTCTGGATTGAATCTATTTTGGGAAGTCAGGTGTACTCTTGAGGTGCATATGCATTTTTAGCATTCCCAATACACTGACTGCATGCTGTATCTCCACTATATTGGTTTTGTGTGTATGTTGTTTTTTTTTTTTAATACCGTGTGCCTTATGCTTCTGATGACATTTCTGTTTTTGTTCTCTTGTGGCTGTGGCACACAGTGTGCCTGTCAGTACAAATGAAAATATTGCCTTTAATTGTCCCATTTGTTTTCTGTTGAGAGTGATGCTCTTACTGCCTTAGGGTGGTTTTCTAGTACGTAAGAAAAACAGATATCCTTTTGTCAGTCCTCCGAGGGTTTATTCATTGGTGTAACTCTGTCAGTGAATTTCTGATAGGGAATAGTCAATTCCTGTTTCTGCTCAGAATGTTTTGTTTGCATTAGCAATAAATAATGAATCACTTTGCAGATCAACCCTTGAAGTACTATTGCTATTTTGACAACTTGGATTAGCTAGTGCTCCTTCTTTTTATGAAGGTTTATCCTGCCAAGACATTCTTTGAATACTGATAATGTCGATCCTCTTGCCAGTATGGTTATGTTAGAAAGGTATTTTTCTTCTTTCATCACCATGTTCCTTGAAAGCATATTGAATAATGAGACAGCCAAATGGAAATAATTTACACGAGTATTCAGCAAGTTTATTTAAAGTTAACATTATCTGAAAGCGTGCTAAGAACATTCCAAAGTCAGCTACTGCTGAAGCCACGTCAAACCCCTCGGCCCGAAATGCTACGTTTCAGTCCCTGATAAGTTTGGGCTGTGTTGTACAAGCAGTGCTGCTGGGCTCTGCCTCGAGCAACTCCTCACCTGCTCCTTCCCACTTCATGTCTGTGGCCCAGTCTCAAGCTGGTGGTGTTTAGGGGATACCTTGGCATGTT